AACCCGGGGTGGGGTGGGGTGGGGGGCCGTACAACATAAAAGTGGGTGAAGGGAGACAGCGGTCAGTATAAGACATGAAAAAATTTTTATAAATTTTCCAGGGGGGGCGGCTATAAGTCGGGGCAGACTCCAGGGCGACTGGTTACTGAGCCCTTCTGATGGGCTGCTGGGTGTGTTCCTGAACACGCTGGATGGATTCACTCCAACAAGAGCCGTGTTTGCATAGATGGGCTACTCACTGAAAGGTCAGCGATTTGAAGCCACCAGCTCCTCCTCAGGAGGGAGATGGGGCTTTCTACTCCCATAAAGAGTTACAGTCTCTGAAACCCACAGAAACAGCTCCACTTTGCCCTGTAGGTTTGCTGCGAGTCAGAATCAACTCGGTGGCAGTGAGTGAGTGAGTGAGTGAGTGAGTCGGTGGACACTCCTTGAAGGCGCATCCTGTGGCCTATGAGGAAGCTGAGGATCAAAGCTGCCTGATTCTCTCTGATTAGCAGGACCTTTGTCCAAGCCCAGGCCCTAGGACTGGGATCTTGGCTCTAGCCACTGCCTTGTGCTTCTTCCCCACCTCCTGTTGGTCCCAACAGACCAGCATTCGAGCCTACAGCTGTGGAGCTGAATTCTGACTCATAGCAGCCTTGAAGGAGGGGGAAGAACTGCCCCACGGGGTTTCTGAGGCTGTAAACCCTCGTGGAAGCACGCTGCCTCATCTTTCCCCAATAGGTCCGCTAGTGGATTTGAACCGCCAGCCTTTCCTTTAGCACCATTGCCCACCACGGCTCCTTTGTGTCTAATCCAGGGCTGAGAATAGTTCTGAGGGCCCACCACAGAACTCTGTGGTCTAATGCCCTAAGACTGGCTGATGGGCTTCATCTGGGGCAACATCTGAGTGCAGGCCCCCCAGAGTCCCCAGCCAGCAGCGTAGGTGTCAGCACATCTCTGGTGAGGGGAAAGCGGGGTGCTGTGCTCTGCAGAGCGCCAGAGAAGATGAAGGTAAATGTGCAGGGAAGGGAGAGAGAGAGAGAGAGAGAGGGCCTGGGCCTCTATTTTCTTTCTCTCGTCTCCTTAGTGCTCCAGGAGGTGCAGCCAGGTAGCCTCTGGTTCAATTTGTATTCACGAAACGTCTGTTCACCTGAGACTTCCGTTCTGGGCCATGGTGTGCACCTGTGAGTCAGGAAAGACGATGGGAATGCTGGTGGAGGAGCATCAAGGTGTGAATTTGGGTCAGAGGGTCTAGATGGGAGACAGGGTGGGAAGCATGTAGCTAGGGATAGGCCCTGACAGATTTTGTGAAGGTGAGGCATGTGGGTGACCTCAGTTGGGGAGCTCTGTGGAGGATGGGCACCAGGCTGGCCTGCCGCCATCTTCTGGTTCCCGTTTCCTACTGGGCTGTCACTGCCCTAGGAAGTCCCTGGTGGGGTGGCAGTCAGCATGCTGGCTGCAAAGTGATGAGTCTCCTGTGGAAAACCAGCCCTGCAAACCACAGCTCTGTCACTTGGGGTCACCGTGAGTCAGGGTCCCTGCCATAGCCACTGATCAGTGCCATTGCAGTCTTGGTTCTGAGACTCCCTGCCCAGTTGGAGAAGCCAAGGGTCCCGGCCATTCGCGATACAGTTTCGTGTGACATGTTCGCCGTGTGATTGTTTGCTTCCAGCTTTCCTCTTCTGTGCTGTGCTTGAAGGACGATCCTGGATCACCACCGGATCATAGTGATCCCTCGGGTGAAAGGGAGAATAAGGCAGACTCCATGATTTGGGGTGCTCTGTTTACCACAGAAACTCTTTCCCCTCTGGTTTTATCTCCTCCCTAATACTCTTTGCAGTGTTCTTTATTCTCACTCTTGACCGGAGGTACTGTTCATTTGTATATTGGCATCCTTAGAAAATAACTTGTTTTTTCTCAACGCGATGCTCCTCAGACCCCACCACTCAGAGGTAATCACATTGAACAGCGTGTTGGACAGGTCTCCAAAAAACTCCCCAAGCCCAACCCCCCACAAGGTACATGAGGGAGATGAAGCGATTTCTGAGTTTCCGTGACTTATTTCCATTGAATAATGGATCATGACTTATTTCCTTGTGGTCCCTAGATGCTGCTCCCAGTGAATATAGAGAGATTGCATCCTGACTTCTAACCTATGCCACGTGTTTGCTTGTTTGAGTGAATCTACTTAAGCACACTCTGCTAATTGTGAATTGAGGAGAGTCGTCTGAGCGCTTGGGGAACATCTGATTGGCTAATCCAAGGTGGATGACCGTTTGGGGTCCAGTCTTGATGTTTCTCTGCTGACTGGGGAGTGTGAGTGCCTCAGAGGGCAGGGGTGGCATGAAGAGGGCATGGGCTTTGAGTGACGTGCCCCCGACGCTTTGCCAGGCTGTCACTGAGCAGCGATGTGATTTTTTAAAAGCACTTCACCTCTGAGCCTCAGTCTCCTCATCTGTAGATGATGTGCAGACGCACGGTGTTGGAGGTCTAATGTAGTCATTTACAAATAGCATGATGCTCTCAAGCTAGCTCTCCCATGACTCCTCATTAAGCTTTTATGTCAGTATCATTGGTCAGGCCTGTGTCCTGTGTCCCGCCCAGTGCCCACACAGTAAACACCAATGGACTTGCTCCCTGAAATGCCCATCTTTGTAGTTTGGTAGTGGCCATTTTCAAGCTAGGGAGCTGCATGTACGGTCGGTCTACCTTTAGAACGAGTGCATTTATATCTGGACTTTGACGTCGCAGCTGAAATGAGTGTGTGTGTGTGTGTGTGTGTGTGTGTAGGGGGGTGTACCATGTGTGGGTGTGCATGGGTCTCTGAAGTTGGATACAGGTGTGTTATTTTTGAGTGAGTACAGTGGGAATTTATATGGATGGAGTTACTGTAGTTTGCCCTAAATTAGGTTTTAGACAAAAGGATAAAATTATACTCTTTCTCTCCCTATCCGTGTGTGTGTGTGTTCAATATAGCAGTAGAGAGAGATGTCCTAACATCTAAAAAAATCTCCTCCCTCCCCGCGTCCCCTTTTTTCATTCCTTCTTTTCTTGCCTCCTCCCCTTTTCCTGTCTCCTTCCTCCCTTCTTCCTTCCAGCTTAGCCTCCTTTTATCCATGCATTTGTCTGTCCTTCCATCCTTGGAAATGGATTGAATGTCAAGACCATTCTTTCTGCTCTAGTCCATGGTGACGATTATCCTGTAGTATAAGAAAGGAGATACAGTCCTTGGGAACAAGAGGTTCCCAAGCTTGGGCTTACCACTCCCTTTTCAGAAAAAATTACTTAGGGTCCCCTGATAAGTGAAAATGTGTACATTTGTACAATGGCCCCTATTCCAGGATAAAGTGTTTTTGCAGGCCCCCCCACCTCCCATTGTTCCAGCACCCTCCAGGCTCTATTTGAATCAACAGAATCTGAGCATAAATGGATACTATGGAAAAACAAGTGGGGATTGTGTTATTTTATGTCAGCTTTGGGCTACTAGCTGCAAGGTCAGCCCTTTGAAACTACCAGCTGCTCTGTGGGAGAAAGATGGGGCTTTCTACTCACGTAAAGAGTGTCAGTCTCCAGGGCAAAATATGACAAAATAATAATTTATAAATTATCAAGGGCTCATGAGGGAAGGGGGAGCAGGGAGGGGAGGGGAAAAATGAGCTGATGCCGGGGGCTTAAGTGGAGAGCAAATGTTTTGAGAATGATGAGGGCAATGAGTGTACAAATGTGCTTTACACATTTGATGTATGTATGAATTGTCATAAGAGTCGTATGAGCCCCTAATAAAATGATTAAAAAAAATAAAGAATGTCAGTCTCAGAAACCCACAGGGCCAGTGCTGCCCTCTCTGTAGGGCTGCTGAGCGTCCACACCAGCTGGATGGCAGTGAGTTTGTGAGTTTACTCCTCAGTCATCCGCTATCTTGTTATCTGAAACTTTACGTTTGTGACAATGACAAAAATGTATCTATCTGCCCATTCTGCCCACTACCACAGTACTGAGTGCTGCCTTCGAGGCAAGCGTCATGCCAGCTGTGACGGCGGAAGTTACGGGTCCAGCAGGCTGGGCCATGCGTCTCTGCGGTCGGACAGTTGTGCAGTGATGTAACTGACCCTTAAGTTAGGATGGGATTTGGCAGTTACGCAATGATGTGCTCAGCTTCAATGTTGGCATCTGATGTGGCCACCCTCCATTTTCTCCATGACTGCATAATGACCCTGGCCTTTGGAACTCTGGGGTGAGGTGAGGAGGGGGTGCCGATGGCCTGAGCGGGAGGGGGACAGTGGGTGCTCAGTCATAGAACTAGTGTGAAAATTTAAGGAGACACGAAGAAGACATTTGGAGGGAGAACCCGTCTTCAGAGAGTTTGGTATATATTGGATCTATGTCTCAGCCACACTCCGAAATTCATGATGTGCTCTATTACCTTCCAGGAGAAACAAGGATGTATTTATTTAAAGTTAGTCTTCCTTTGGGGCCATTCAGAGGTCCCGTCCCAGGCCGTATTGATCTGAAGATGCTTTAGCCACGGCTGATGGGGTTTGTTGGGCTATTTCAACAGCAGTCTTGGCCTTTCTAGGTTCTCGGTCTGACCATTGTAGATTCTCTGTCCTCCGTAGCTGCCGATGGCCGCGCCAGGTGAGTGCTGGCACATTTGCCCAAGGGCAAACCGTACAACTGCACCTCACTTCTGTTTCAGATGCGCAGCTCCGAGTTTACCGTGGAACCAAGCCTGGGGTCTTATTTAGACCCCGAATCAGTGCATAGAAGCTAGGACCATCAACATGGTCTCACAGGCCTTTTCTCTGCTTATCTCCATGTTCTGACCCAAACTCCAGAACCTTGAAGGCTCCGGAGACAGTTCTCCTGAGAATGGCAGCCTTCTGGAAAGGCACCCGCCGTGTGGCTTGGATGAGGACTTTTCCTTCTGAGCATGAAGAGACTCTATAGCTGTTAGCCCCTCCCTCTGGATGTGTGACACCTCTGTTGCCCCTGTCTAACGACTCGGTCTTGTTTTACAGTCCCCAGTCTGTCCCAGACCGTCTGCGGATCCGCGTGAACAAAATCAGTTTACAAGACTATGAAGGATGCCACTACGGGAAAGAGAAACTCCGGGAAGCGTGTAAGTGGGAAGTGCCTAATTGATTTCCTGTGGCCAGCCTCTCTCCAGCGCCTTGGGCCTCCCTGGTTTGATGGATAGACCCATTAGCCCTGGCGTCTGCGCAGCATGTTAGTGAAATGAGGGGTGGTGCCAGGCTGCCTCCAGTGGAGAGGAACAGCAGACCAAACCCTCGTTCTGCTGTGGCGCCTGGTCAGCGTCACCGGTTCTAGGCACCACGTTGGCCTCAGGCTTGCCTAGGACGCGACAAGCAGAAACTGGGTGATGCCACGCGGCATCGTCACGTGCAGGGAACTCTTGGGACACAACTGGTCTTTTCTCACAGCCTCTATAACCAAAGTCTGAGTGCTCCACGGATAGCAAAGTTATCCCTTTGACATGTCGGGGTCTTCTAGCTACAGCGTTGCTGTGGCTGTCCAAGACCAGCCGTGAGGTTCTTGAAAGGGTCGCAGGCTACTCAATGTGATTCGCTGATGGCGAGACACCATCGCTTCTGAAGTCTCCCAACGTGTGGCCGACTTCCCCGTGTTCGCCCTTTTCATCTGCTTCTTGGAACATGCCCTGCGTGACTCCTTAGCCCACCTAGTCCCTCCCCCACTGAGTAGACTGCAGGCACCCTTTCCTCCACTCACTGTTTGGGAGCCCTGTCTCTATCAGGAGGCAGCCCTGGGGGTGGCGTGGTTACACATTGGCTTGCTGACCACGAGGCCATCAGTTTTGAAACCACCAGCCAGCTCTGCGTGAGAAAGAGGAGACTCTCTACTCCCTAAAGAGTTGATTCTCAGAAGCTCGCAGGGCAATTCTACCCTGTCTTTAGGGAGGCTCTGAGTCAGCATTGACCCAACGGCATTGAGCTTGATTTGGGTTTGTTTCAGGATACATGTGATGTCCGGAAGAAACGAGGACCACTGGCGTGCCAAAGATCAGGGTTCTAGGCTTCTCCTTAGGAGCCCTGGTGATGTCGTGGATTGCCTGTTAGGCTGCTAACCACAGGGTCAGCAGTTTGAACTCACCAGTCGCCCCACAGGAAAAAGACGAGGCTTTCTGATTCCATCAGCAGCCTCCTCAAACCCCCAAAGGGGCAGTTCCACTCCGTCCTGTCGGGTCACGATGAGTCAGAGTGGACTCGACGGCAGTGAGAGGGTAGATTCTCCATCACTGTGTGTCTGCGGTGGGGGCAATGGTCAAGAGGGAGGTAGTCAGAGAAGGCAAGGAGCTCCAGGGAGCAGGCTGGGATGCCGAGAGAAAGGAAGGAAGAGGTGTTCTGCAGAACCAGAGCTCGGAATGGCCTCCACGTGTAGCCCTTCCTGTGGAGGCGGAGGAGAGCGCGGGGGTGGGGAGCAGAGGTGGATCCCTGGGGTTTGACAGTCTTTGCACTCGGGTCCTCGGGCTTGCATCTGGAACGGGGTTCAGTCGATGAGCCCCTGGGACAGTCTCGGGTCACTGTGGGGTGTCTAGGATCTGGGAGGGCGGTGCAGTGAGCAAGCACTAATTCCCCTGGTCATCCCATCATCGTCCCATCACGGTGGCACCTTCTAGAGAATTCCGGGTGAAGTTTCTGCCTTCTCAGTTCTCTCAACTGCTTCTGCTTCCTGAACTCTTTTCCCCATGGTTTCTCCCCGGCCCTATTCCGTTGGAAGGAAGTTCTGAGCTGGGGAAGGGCCCAGTCCTTGAACTTCTGTATTTCTTCCTTCTGGGAATGACTGCTGACTTTTCCTAATGGATATGACCTTATCAGTGATGGACTAGCACCCATCTAATTTCACGCGCACATTGAGGAGAAGCATCTAGTTTCCGTGGAGGCTGCGGTACTAGAGTTGCAATGTAGTTTTGCTTGATTTTGGTGGTGGGGGGGGGGGCGCCAACTACCATCCTTTTGAACTGGCTATGGCTTTTAAAAACAAATCAGGCTGTCGACCTCAGGTCAGTACTCCTCTGCAGCTGAGGCCAACTCTGAGCAAGGCCAATTGGCAGTGGAGAAGCCTCTGAAACCTGGGGCTGAAATGCGATTCAGGCTGCTGTGTACGTTTCAATGAGCTGCTCAATCCTCCCCAGGCCCTCGCCCGCCTGTCCACACCGCCAGGTGCATCGCGATTTGAGCTTTCACAGGAAAATGACAACTCCTGCAAGGGGCTTACGGATCCTGTCTCATATGATAAAACTTATGTGGGAAGGAATTCTTATATCAAACCAGGGCAGGTAACTCGGCACAAGCAAGTTGTCCAGTAAACTCAGCCGTGTTTTTTTTTTTTTTTTGGGGGGGGGGCAAAGGAACAAAGGTGGGGCTAGGGATGTTCTCTTCTGCCAAAGACTTGGGTTTGAAGAAGATAAGATACTAGTTGGAAGCAAAAGTGGCCCACTCAGTCATCCGTCATTCTACGTGTGTTAAAATACATACAACGTCATTCAGATCTGCTGCGTCGTTTCCTACACCTACCAGCCCTGTATCACGGCATTGGCTATTTTAACCATGTTCAAGTGTAGGTTCGCCAGCGGTAATTACACCCACCATGTTCCCCAATCATGACCATCATCCACTTCCAGAACTCTGTCGTCACCCCAAACAGAAACTGTCCCCATTAGGCCATCAAGCCCCATGGACACTCCCTCGCTTTAGTCTCCCAGCCAGTGGAAACCATTAGTTACCTTGCTGACTCTCGGCAGTTACCTGCATTAGATGTTTCAGGGAAGTGGCATCAAAATGCATTTGGACTTTTGTGCCTGACTCTTAACACTCAGTACGATGCTCTCCAGGCCCACTCCGCCGTCATGTGCAGCAGAACTCCGTTTCTCTTCAGGGCTGAGGACGGCCCTGCTCACAGTTGCCCACTCTGTGTTTATCCATCATCTGCTGATGGATAGCCGGGTGGGGGCCATCTTTGGCCATGGGGCATAGTGCTGCCACAGGCATTGCTTGTGCAGGGATCCACTTGAGCCTGTGCTTTTCAGTTCTCCGGAGTTTGAGCCCTGGTGGTCTCGTGGGTTACACAGTGGGCTGCCTGCCATAAGGTCAGCAGTTTGAAACTGCCAGCTGCTCTGTGGGAGGAAGATCAGATCTTCTGTTCCCATAAAGACTTACTGTCCTGGAAACCTGTAGCACAATTCTACCCTGTCTTATAGGGTCCCCATGAGTCAGAATGGATCTGATGGACGTGAGTTTGGATTTGGGCTTTTGAGTGTACCCAGGAGTGGGATTGCTGGGTCCTAGCCCTGGTAGCAGAGCGGTTATGGATTGGGCTGCCCACCCCAAAGTCAGCAGTTTGAATCCACCAACCACTCCATGGGAGAAAGATGTGACTTTCCACTTCAGTAAAAAGTTATCATCTCAGAAACCACGGGGCCAGTTCTCCCTTGTCTGATGGGGTCATGATAAGTCGAGTGACCCTGTCAAGCCAATTTTGCCTCAGTGGCAGTGAGTTTGGGTTTGGGGGTTGGGAGGTACCCAGGTTTGGTTCGTTTGAGGACCCAAGAAGCACCACCATTCTGCTTTCTCTCTGTGATGATGACCCTCCTCACCAGCGCTTGCTCTGGAATTCTGCCATGCTCGTCCCCACAGGTGAAGGCAGCCTCTTACCCTCGCTCTTCTGCTTGAACTTGAGCGGACCCAAGATCGTAGGCAAAGCTGGTTGCCCAAGGTGAGTGTCAAGGCAAACACTGGCTCAAGTTCCTGTTCAACGTGCGGGGCAGAGTCCTGTTTCAGGCACCTTCATTAGTGAGGCGCACAGGGAGCTGAAGCGGCTGATGGGGCTGGACTCTTGACCTGCATCCCAGAGGCCACAAGGGAACCCTCTCGTAGGCTGTCGATTGATTGTTAGAAGTCAGAAGACCGGGGCTGCCTTTCCGGCCTGGGAAACTCAGACCCACACCCACCCCCGCCCCTCTTGAGGTGACACCCCGTGACTCACGCAGGAGGTTCGTTATCGCTGTTCAGTACACTCACACCCATGTGACCGGATTCTTCGTGTTCCATTATGAGAGTGATGTTTGCCGCCTAACACAGCCGCACCTCCCTCTGCAAGGCAGAGCTAGCTCCCTGCTAATTACACACGGAGAGTCCTTTTCACGGCTCAGCTTGTTCCAGCACTCAAAGCAGGCAGCCCTGTCCTGCAAATCTTTCAGCCAGTTCCCTCTCCCCTGCTGGCGCTGCCCCAGGATAAAAGCAGAGGGCTGGTGAGTCCTTGCCAGCCCGGTGCCCAGCCCGCAACTTGCTGGTGAATTTCAGATGTAGGTGAAGCAATTAGAGTTGTCATGATTTGTGGACCCTCAGGACGATGGGAGGAGAGAAGTCTGTTTAGCTTGAGAGGTAGAACATAACCAGAAAGAGGCTTTGTTTAAAAGAAAAAGGAAATTTTAAAAAAACAGCAACAAAACCCTTAAATCTGTAATAATGACAGCAGACAGCCATCCAGCCAATGAGGTATGGAAATAGGTCGTTAGCTCCTTCCAACAAAACAGGTCGTTAGCAAGTGTGCAATCACCTCATCAAGGCAAAGGGTCAGCAGTTTTTTAAAAATCTGTCTTCTTCCTCATTCCAAGAGAGTTGTATCGACATGAATTTCCTGTCTCAGATAATGACAGCCCAAACTGAACGCTAACCAGTGGAACTTGGCTGCTCTTTCTGTCTGCTGTTAGCTTACTCTGCACTTTTTTTTTTAAACCAATTTATTGGGGCTCATAAAATTCATCACAATACATAGATCAATTGTGTAAAGCACTTCTATACATTTGTTGCCCTCATCATTCCCAAAATTCGCTTGCCTCTTGGGTTCCCGGACTTACTCTGCACTTTTGAAGCACATGGTGGCTCACAGGAGTCTGAGGCCAGACACGCAAATGGCAAAAATACCACCAGGAGCCAGCGGCTGCAAACAGATAGGTCTGTCCACCAAGGCGGGCACCACATGCGTTGTCCATCAAAACCGGTGCCTAGAAGACCTCTTACTGACATGATGTCCACATAGTGTCCTCCAGCTGACCGTCCACTTCAAACCTTCAAAGACAAA